GCCTCAAGCGCGTGCGCAAGCCCAAGAAGGAGGCGCCGCCCATGGAGAAGCCGGAGGTGGTGAAGACGCACCTGCGCGACATGACCATCCTGCCCGAGATGGTGGGCAGCATGGTGGGCGTGTACAACGGGAAGACCTTCAACCAGGTGGAGATCAAGGTGCGTGCTGGCCCGCCCGGGAGCGGGGCTTGGGGGAGAGCGGGGCGCCACGTCGGCGCCGGCGCTGACACCCTGCCCGCCCTCCCCGCAGCCCGAGATGATCGGCCACTACCTGGGCGAGTTCTCCATCACCTATAAGCCTGTGAAGCACGGCCGGCCGGGCATCGGCGCCACCCACTCCTCCCGCTTCATCCCGCTCAAGTAGCCGCCTGCCCAATAAAGGCGCTGGTCCCTGTCCCACTGTGCCTGTCCTTCTGCGCCGGGGCTCCGGGGCAGTGCTCCTCCGCTCCTGTCACCGACAGGTGGCTGGTGGTCTGGTCTCTGGGTTTGCAGTCTGCAGGGAGTGGGCAACCTACGGGAGGTTGTGGAGTGTCTGACCTGCGGGCACAACTCTCACCCCGGCGGGGCAGCTGCTGAGGTTCTGGGCTTGTCTCCTGGTGGGAGGTGGTGCTGCCCCAGGCTCAGGCCATGGCCTTGGCCACACAGGGCAGTCAGCCCTGGTCTGGTCGAGCTGCAGCAGGGCCGGCTGGGACCTGGCAGTGTTCCCCCCACATACACCCCTGGCATGAGAGTGCATGCAGCGAGGTAGGCCCGGGTGGCCCGGCAGTGGGTCCCCCCACACAGCAAGGGTTTGGGTGGGTCATGCCCTCCTGTGCCAAGCCAGGCCTGGGACCCTGTTGCAGAGGTGGAGAGATGCCTCAGAAAAGTGAAGGCCATGCGGGAAGGCTGAGGTTGGAGCAGCAGTGCTGGAGCCCCTGGCCTTGGGCCACGGTGTCTGCATCCCAGCCAGACCCCTGCAGGTTCCACGATTCCTACTGAGTTCTGTGACTCGTCCCCGGTGCATGATGGGAGGTAGCCAGGCAAGGCCCGGCTCTGTGGGCCTGAAGAAGAATGGCCACAGGTGAGAGGATCAGTTAGAGTCCCTGACCTGGTGATTTGCTTTTTGGCTTTTGTCCCTTGCTCTGTCCAAGATGAAGTTAAATAAAATCTTTTTAGAAATGCCCCGAGTCCTCCTGGGATGGAGAAGTGGAAGAGGGATGGCACTGTGCCGCCATGCTGCCTTCTCTGGTGGGCAAGAGACCCTGGCAGAAGGACTGAGTCTGGCGGGGGTCAGCCAAGCTGCGTCCTGTGGCTTTGGACACATGCGCAGATACAACTGAGCACACGGTCATGTGGGGTCCAGCACCTGGGCCTCTGCCACCAGCTGGCTCCTCTGGGACTTTTTACCTTGACCATAGAGGGACAGGAGAGAAGCAAGCCAGGCCTGCCCCTCCAACCGCAGTTAGGCTTGTCCTCCGGTACTTTTTCGAGGTTTCTGGTATAGGGTGCCTGTGCTCCCCAGAATGACACAAAGCGAGTCGCCTGCCCCCCGGGAGGGGGGGTGGCCACGTGCAATCCATTCTCCCCTCTGGTCTTGGGCACGCCCGCACCCTTGGTTGGGTAGTCAGTCCTGTGACAGCTGCTGCTCTAGTCTTCTGGCATGTCTTCCAAAGTAATGCACCACAGGGCCGCCAGGTGGCAGTGATGCGTTGCCGGGCTCCCTCCCACATAGCAAACTGGTTCAAGTCCTGGATCTGGGTCTGGTGGCTTGGAAATACCAGGCGTGTGCACGCTCAAACCCCAGGGCAAGGGTGGAGAAGGGACTGGTGAGTTCTTCCTTAACTTCACTGCGCCTGTCTGGCAAGCACAGAAACCTCAGAAATAAAATCCCACATGGGGTTCCGGCTCTGGCTTCAGTATACCTCTGTGGGTGCACCAAGGTGTTCAGACTGCATTCCCGGCTCAGGGCCACCCCCTTTCTGGTGCTTTCAAGCCACCGTGGCCAGTGGGCTGCTCTGCCTTGTTCTCCACCTGAGCGTGTGTGCCGGCCATGGGGGACCACATGCCCGGGCGCTGCACAGCCCCTGGGCACCCAGGACCGCGTCTCAGTCCACCGCCTCTCACCAGCCCTGGCCGCCCCGTGGTCCCCCTCAAGTTAGGGGCTCGCTCCATTCCCCAGCTCGGTTCTGTTAGACGTCCTCTGCTGCCCTTTGCAGACTGGACCCAGCAGCCACTCCCAGAGTCCACCTCCAGCTTCCTGTCCATGGTGTCCACCGTCGGTGTGCACCCCAGTGCCCTCCCAGCCCCCTCCTAGTGTCCACCCCACCCCAGTGTCCTCTCTCCCGGCCCCGCGTCCTCCCCACCTGTCGAGTCCCCTGGGTCCTATTTTCTCGCGCTGCTGCGGTCTGTTCTCGCGGTCACCAGAGGGCGCTGGTGAGCGCCGGGGCTCGCGTCCCAGCTCTGCCCACCGCCTCCCGGACTCGCGCCTCCTGGGGGCCCAGCAGGAACTGCCCCAGGGCCGGGGACTCTGTTGGGGGCAGCAAGATTTCCTGAGTGACGAGGGGCTCGAGCCCGGGCGGCGTCGGAACT